TAGAGGGAGGGAGAGGCATGGGCAGGTCAGGCTGCTGCGCTGGAGTTGGGGGGCTTTCCTGTTTCACTCCTCTGTCTGTCCTGCCCCATGTAGCAGAATGGTCTCCATTGATAGACCTGGTCAGAGCCACCAAGGGTCAGCAGGGCCTGTGGGGCAGACTCAGCAGGGGTGACGTTTGCTTCCACCACCGTTGCCTTCCTGGCACCTAATTCTGGGCCGAGAAGGACTTGATGGGAATCCGTGTGAATGGTGGCTCTTGGCATCCTAGTCCTGAGGGGCACCAGGGTGCTCTCCAGCCCGCTGCCCTGGGGGCTACGCCGGGCTGGCCATGGCCCTGCCCTCACAGGTCAGGTGTCACCAGCCTTTAGGCCTTGGCCTCTGCCCTCTGACTCATGATTCCAGGGTGTAACGCCCAGCTGGGTCTGCAACCTCACCTGCCTGAAACAGATGTCATGGCCACCAAGGATGGGCTGGGCTTTGTTGGCTTCAGGCTGGAGCCTTGCTGGTCCCACCGGTCCCCTTCAGCCTGGCTCACCCCCCAGGCCCCTCCAGTTCAGGGTGTTTTCTAAGGCATTTCTGCAGGACAGGAGGCCTGTTTTTGTGCCCTGTCCCCTGCCCGATGCTGGCTCTCACGACCTGGCCTCCTCCAGCTCTTCTCAGGCTGGTTGGCCTGGGCTCGGGGGTGTGGGGGGTGTGGGGGTGTGGGGAACACACAATGAGAAGGGGGGGCAGTGGAAGGGCGTGGCTAGTGAGGGTGTGGCCCCTCCTGCCGGAAGCAGCCTTCTGCACAGGCACAGACAGCTTAGTGTCAAGTCCAGCTTGGCTGGCTGCTCGCTGTGGTCAAGTGACCTGACATCAGTGCCTCTGGCCCCTGCCTGACGTGAGAGGTTATCTCATGCATTGTAGCAAGGTTAAGTGGCAGAGAACTCAGCATCGTGCCTCACATAAGAAGAGCTATTGTCCTTTTGTGTGTATCTTTTGTATCATTGTCATAAAGGGAAAACACGAGGGCCGTTTAAAACACAGAAATGAGTGCTATGCCAGCTAGAAGCAGCGTCCTGTGGTTAGTATTATCCCTCTGTGTTCAGCTGCGCTGCCGCTGTGGCCAGCTCCAAACCGTGGCCAGCTCCAAACCGTCGTACCCCACAGGGTGCTTCCTGTCTGAGCAGATCCCACCATGAGCAGGGAGCATCAGAGGCAGACAGACGTCCTCTACAGAACACTGCTCCCCCAGATGTTAATGGTAGTCCATGAAAATGGGGTTCCCTGCCCAGTAAAACTGAGAAATGCTGAGTTAAGAGGTCTCTCTACTGTAAGGCTCACAGATTTACAATGTGCTAATAATGCACTAAAAAAACTTAGTATGGAGAATTTCAAGCCTGTATGAAGCAAACTGAACAGCACTGTGGCCGGGGCACGTGGCACGACTGTCCCCAGGCTCCCTGAGAAGCTCCACCCCCACTCCTCCCCCCACTCAGGTACCATTACTTTTTAGGTTTTTCTTTTTCAGGTTAAATTTACACACCTTGAAATTTACATGCAGTTTAAAATCTTTAAGTGAGGAGATGTCAATTTTTATGATTTCAACTGCCAGACTTTATCATGTGTAGTTAATTTGTTGAATAAGCTAGTCTTTCTCCTCTGATTTAAATATAGTCTTATGTTACGTTAAAAGCTAATATTTAATTAGGTTACCTCTGTCTTTTGTAATCAGATTCATTGGGGTCTACATTACACTTGAGTTCGATGAGTTCTGACAAATGTGTGTACCATTTCACCCCGGTCAAGGACACGGACCTCTTCCATCACCCCAAAAGTTCCCGTGCCCTTCCTATCCCCGCCCCCACCCGGCTCAGAGCCACTGACCTGCTTCCTGTGGCGGTAGATTAATGTTCGTGGAGGATTAATGTTCCTGGAGTCCCTCCCGTAGGAGGGAGCCATGCCACACAGGGCTGGCTCTCGTCACTGTGTTTCACGTGGGTGGCCGTGCAGTGGGATCACTGCTTTGTACGGCTGTCTCATTTTCCGCTGTAAGGATGGGCCACATCTGTGTATCGACCACCAGGGGAAGACATTTGGACATTCCAGGACAGGTCTGTGTGGATGCACGTTTTTCTTTCTCCCAGTTAAATACCTCGGAGAGGAGTTGCAGTCACGTGGTAAATGCGTTTGGTTATAAGACGTGGCCAAATTCTTTTCCACAGTTGCCGTGCTGTTTGGGGAGCATCCTAGTCATTCTGTGCCATGTTCTGGTTGCCCCACAGTATACCACCTCTGGACGACAGCTGGCTGCTTCCGTCTCACTGTCAGAAGCCTGTAATTCAGGCCCAGCCCGCTGTCCATCTTCTGCCCCCGTGACTGACCAGGCCCCTGTCCTGCAGATGGTGCAGTCGCTGGGTTTCGCCATCTACCGTGCGCTGGACTGGGGGCTGGACGAGAGCGAGGAGCGGGAGCTCAGCCCTCAGCTGGAGCGGCTCATCGACCTGATGGCCAACAATGACTGCGACGACGGCGGCAGTGGGGTGGCGGACGAGGGCTACGGGGGCCCGGAGGAGGAGGACGAGGCCGAGGGCGGCCCCCGGGCCGTGCGCACCTTCGCGCAGGCCATGCGTCTGTGCGCCGCACGCCTGACCGACCCCCGGGGCGCACAGGCCCACTACCAGGCCGTGTGCCGTGCGCTCTTCGTGGAGACACTGGAGCTGCGGGCCTTCCTCGCCAGGGTCCGCGAGGCCAAGGAGGTGAGGCGTGGGGCGGGGGCAGAGCTCCTAGAAGGGACAGGGTGTCTAGGTGGTCGCAGGAGGAAGTGGGGAAAGGCCAAAGTGGTTCCTTCCCTGGAGGGGGCGGTTCCGACATCA